TAGGGTTTAGGGTTTAGGGTTTAGGGTTTAGGGTTTAGGGTTTAGGGTTTAGGGTTTAGGGTTTGTGTGGTCGCCTTTCTTGAGGTCTGACAGTCGGATCGGACCGACAGCTTCGAGAGCCATGAAGCCTTCGATATGTGTTCAAACCCAGCCACTTAAACCCCATCAGCCCTCCCTTGTCCCAACCCTAAACCCTAAACCCTAAACCCTAAACCCTAAACCCTAAACCCTAAACCCTAAACCCTAAACCCTAAACCCTAAACCCTAAACCCTAAACCCTAAACCCTAAACCCTAAACCCTAAACCCTAAACCCTAAACGAGTCTGCCCTGCTCTGAAGCAGGCTTGGTGTGAAAGGGCGAGCCCTATGTTTCCCCCCGTCAAAGTGTAGAACAACAAAAACAAAAGAGCTTAGGCTTTTGTTGTTGCATCTGAAGACCCTTTTGCCTGGTGCTTACGTGAGGCAATGAAGAAGACATTGCTATATGCTCTAGCGGCCCTTGAGGCACTTTTCATACCGTTGCCCCAATCCAACAGTTGCTTTGTTAGCATTGCTCACTTTGATCTTTCACAGAGTGCGGTCGTGGCTTTCATGGAGAAGGAACATCACTTGGCCACTTGGGCGGGTCTTCCATGTGACATGCGAAGAAGAAACCTGTCACTTGGCCAGGTGTTTTGTCCATCAAGGGCAGAAGGGCTGCAACGCACAGAATGGACTGAGTGCAGATGTACGGCTCTGCAACCTCTGCACAGCGTGCTGGGATAGGAGTCTTGAAACCACAATACCCAGCTTGCTTCAAGAGTCGTTCAAACCCCACAAGCAATGCCTCTTAGAGTGTAGGGTTTAGGGTTTAGGGATTATGGTCAGAAGCAATAAAGACGTTGCAAACCCCCTTTGTCGTTGCTCGCGTCATGGTCAGCAGCGAGCCTTTCCGTGTCAGGAGAAGCATTGGCACGGAGTTTTCTCGGTGCGCACTGAAGCGATACCTAGTGAGAACACGTACGGCGAGCTCCGTGCAGCCACCTCCTGATGTCCGCCCTTACTGAATTTTGCTGGCATGGATATCGATGCAGTGACAGCTCTGCATCATCGCAATACATACCTGTGAGAGAGCTTCATGTGGGGCAGCGTCTTGACCAGACAGCTGAGCAATCTGGACCCAGCGAGTCGAGATGTCAGGGTTTTGGGGGCCAGGGTTTGAACTTCAGCTGGGTGGTTTCTCTCCTGCCACTCGTACACCTTCTATTTCATGTCCTTGCCCCTTGCATACAGTCTGGGTGGGTTCAGGCTGCTGTGCTAGCTCTGAGTAACAGAGAACCGGCTCACACCACCACCATCACATGAATCACATGTACATACTGCAGACGACTTCTTTTTGTTGGTCCAAGCTCATGATAAAGTTAGGGCACTTCGAGGTTGAATTTTGCCTTCGATCAGCTTGTTCGAGCTACAGTAGCTTGGTTACTGATGGAATATTAAATTAAACCATCATGGAGTAAATTGCGCCCCTATTCAATGGGATATTATTGGATAAGTCTAGACCCTATTGGCTGCTTTATAGTGTCCCGATTGACTCAATTCGATTGTATTTTTCAGCTGGTATACCTGACACAAAAGGCCTCTGGACTATTTTGAATCGTTGGATTTTTGGGGAATAGAAATCTTCGAAGTTCGGATTGATTAGTGTGCTATTGAGATATTGAATAACAGAAGTCCCTTACGGGAATAGTCAACGGATTTTTAATTGTGATGCTTGCAAGAATAATTGGAAATATCTCGAATTGCGAAACAAAAGTTTATGTTTATAAATTGGTAGGATTGAAAAGTGGAGAACTAGGAAAGGGCATTTTTAATAATTCATTTCTATGTTTTATAATGAAAGTGCTGCAACAAGTTTAAACTAAGCCAGGGTACGGAGATTCGAAGGAAATTTAAAAGAAGGAAATGTCGCTTCTAATATGAGGAAATTCTATAACAGATTGGATCAGAGAAAAAATGCTATTATGCTTTTTCAAAGGCGGGAAATTAATCGAATTTGGAAGATGCCAAGCCAACCAGAGCCAGAGAATGATAGCACCTGGGCAGGAAGCCCCGTCCTGCGGCCATGGCTCCAGGACTGGTTGCTGCCTTTGAAAAGGGCTTCCCTTTGGGTTTCGGGGTCGGATTAGAGCTTAGGGTGTGGGGGTTAGCAATTAGTGTTGATGAGGGTGTATGGCTCGTGTAGGGGTAAATGAGCTGTGGGGTATCCAACATTCGGGGCATCATTTCATCGTCGCTCAGCTGACTGGATTTCGAACACCGCAGTCCGTCTGCCCTTTCATAGGTATGCTGCAGTATGCTTGTTTGCCAGACTTGCAAATTGGTGCCAGTAGGCAAGTTCTCTGTTGCACTTGTCACTTGTCCCTGAACTTTGGTTTGTAGACCCCAAACATTTAGCCCAGAACCCTAAACTCTAAACCCTCCTCCTGAAATCCCACAGTCCAGACTTCCATCTGCGAGGAGCTTGGATCCCGCAGGACAGCAGCAGCAGTAGCAGCAGTCGCCTGGCTCGGCATGGAAGTGTCTTCCACACATCATTCTACTGGGTGATCTTGAGTTCGAAGAGCACTTGAGTCTTCCATTTCTTGCTTGCTGGGTTTAGGTTCGTGCTTGCAGGCAAGGAGTTCACAGATCAAGGTTCACAGAAGCCCACCAGGGGCGCGTCATAGCGGTTTAGGGCCAGGCGTTCATCCTGAGACGTTTTCGGGCCGCAGGAAAGCCTAGCACTTCTATGCGCTAAATCCTAAACCCAAACAGCCGCAGAGGTACTTGGCTCCAGTCTAGTGGTTCCTTTTGTGGAATACGTAGAATGAGGATTATAGTGGTTCGGGGGAATATTAGGGAGTCCATTTTGGGAATCCACCCTTTCACTTGAGACCCACCTAAACCCCTAACTCCAAAACGCTAAACCACGACAGAATGTGATTCTTGTATAGATAGCCGAGTACTAGAAGAACAACAACATTAGGTGTTCTTTTTTTCGTTGTTCGTGCCCGAAACAAACAACATGAGGACAGAGTGAGGTTGGGGACAGGGCTCTCTGGTGAAAAATATACAACTGCATATTCCTTTATGTTTTGAGACTCGCTGGGTGGGTGGCCTTCCTCTGGGTGGGTGGCTTTGGTCTAGAGTGTCGAAACAGCATCTCTACCAGAGATTGCTCGAACGGGAGCTGCTGAACCCTAAGCCCTAAACCCTACAGTTGCACAGGAGCTGTGGGAGCCTCAGGCACGGGTCTTCAAAGATACTCGGAAGCCCGAAACCCTGAAACCTGCACCAGCTCTTGTTAAGGAGCTTCAATTCACCTGCCATAGCAAACAGCATGGTATATTTGTTGTGGCAACTTAGCTCAAGTTCCTAAATCGTGGCCCCTTGTTGGATCCCAGCCTGATATTCAAAGCACTTCGAAAAGACCATCGTGTAGAGAGCTGATTTACGAAAGACCCCAAGCCCGAAAAGGACCAACACTTTAAGCAGCAAAGCGTGCGTCCGAACTCCAAATTCCAAATTCCCCAAACACCCCATAAGCCCCTGAAACCCTAGCTCCTTGCCCTGGCCCTAAACCTCCAGACCCTGAGGCCCTGGAGCGTAAACGGTGGGGCTGCGCTCTGAGTTGCCGTGCGCGGGCGTAGGGTTCAGGGGTCGAGGGTTTTTGGGTTGGTTTTGAGAGAGTTTAGGGCCGGGGGATGTGCCTGTCTCAGCGTCGCCGTTTTGTTAACGTGCCGTACTACGATAGGCTGTGCTCATCGCGGCGCTGTTCGAGCGTCGCAAGGGGGCCTGGGGAACGAGGATGTTGTTGTGGCTCCTGGCATCAAGGTGCGGGAACTTCACGAGTTGCCTTGCCCCAGCCTTGCTAGAAAGGCGCTGCTCACCGCCAATGCAGGCCTTCGATCAGATCTGGATCTGTCGATGGACTCCTGAAGAGAGTTTCCTGCTCACACCATTACAACCTCGCTCTTTCTTTTGGAGCGTTTGGGATGAGCCTCCACTCCAACCACCGTGGGCATCTTTTCACTTGACCTGAACTGCACTCCGGTATCACCAAGGTCCGCCGTACCACATCCCAGGCCCCGACAACTTGTGCCCTGTTCATCTCTGTTCATCAAACACGGGGTCTCAAGATGTCCGAAGTACATGTTGTCTGCTTGCCGCTGGTGGTTCATTCCATTTTTGTTGGAGATATGCATGACTTGATCACAAAACCGAAGTATGGAGTGCTGAGAATGCTAGAATCACGTGTATTCACTGAAATGACGACAATCTCTGAGACAACTTGGACAGGAGAAAAGCACAAAGATCATAGAGAGCACAAACGGTTCCAGTCATGCTTTCTGCTGATCACGAGGGCTACGTGCTGACCTTTCCTAATCTACAAAGTGTCGCGGCTGTCTGGTGCCTAGGTAGCAGTGAAAAGTTTACAGCCACGAGGGACGCAGCCCGCAGGCTACAGTGGTCTACTGGGGCATGTCTTCCAGCATCTAGGGTTAGGGTTTAGGCTTTAGGGTTTCGTGTCTAGGCAGGGGGTGTGAGTGGACATGCTGAAGAGTAAGAATGGTGCATCTGACATATTCTTTCATCACATAATTCACATAAACAATCAAACGTAATCGTAACCATATAATTTAATCCTATTGATATAATCGGTTTCTAATATGGATATGATATAATGGATTATAATGGTAGATACAGTATGCAATCGACTACCTTCAGTCCTTCAGTGTAATGTACTTGCGGCTCATATCTACCACGACACAAGGACAAGCGAAGGCATTCCAAACGTTCCAAAGCACAACGAACTTCGAACCACATGACAACAACAGGTCTTTGATGCATTCTGATTTGTTGTCGCCTATTTTGGGATTGAGAGCATCGTGTGTGTGTGTGTGTGTGGGTGTGTGTGTGTGTCCCCGTGTGTCACCAACCCAAAGGGGCCATAGGTTTTGAGCAGTGCTGACACTGCCATGCTGGGCTTGTTGACCCTGATTTGCTGTCAGCCGCTCCTTCGCGCGGAACCAGGCACGGTCGATGCGGTTTACTCCACCTTACATGCCTTTGCTGCCAAGATGTCCGATGGTAGTGTTGTGGCCTGGGGTGATTCAGAAGATGGTGGCTCACTAGTCAGCGCCGCGTACTTCGTGACCTCTGGAGTCGACACCATATACTCCACTTCGTATGCCTTCGCTGCCAAGAAGTATGATGGTAGTGTGCATACTTGGGGTTCTCCAAGTCAGGGTGGCAATCAAATGGTCAGCACATCTGCAGATGGATCTGAAGGCGATTCGTACTGGGTCAACGAGGAGTTGCTGTCTGGAGTAGAAATGATTTGCTCCAACACTGAAGCTTTTGCTGCGAAGAAATCCGATGGCAGTGTTGTGACCTGGGGTGCTTCAAGTGCAGGTGGCAGCTCGAAGTTGGTCAGCCGGCCCCTGGCTTCTGGAGTCGAAACCATCTACTCCACCTGGTACGCCTTTGCTGTGAAGAAATCAGATGGTAGCGTGGTGACTTGGGGTTCTCCAAGTAAGGGTGGCGACTCGAGGTCTGTCAGCCAGCACTTGACCTCTGGAGTCGACACCATTTACTCCACCTGCTGTGCCTTTGCTGCCAAGAAATCGGATGGTAGCGTGGTGACTTGGGGTGATGCAAGTGACGGTGGCGACTCCTACTCGGTCAACGACCAGCTGACCTCAGGAGTTGAAGTGATTTACTCCAACACTGAAGCCTTTGCTGCGAAGAAATCCGATGGCAGTGTCGTGACCTGGGGCGGTGCAGGTGGCGATTCTTTCTCCGTTAGCAACCACTTGACCTCTGGAGTCGACACCATATACTCCACCGACTATGCCTTTGCAGCGAAGAAATCAGATGGTAGTGTAGTAACTTGGGGTTCTTCACGTTCCGGCGGTGACTCGAGTTGGGTCAGCGATCGCTTGACCTCTGGCGTGGAAACCATATACTCCACAGGCAGTGCCTTTGCTGCCAAGAAATCGGATGGTAGCGTGGTGACTTGGGGATACTCCTTGTATGGTGGCGACTCGAGCTCGGTCAGCGACTACTTGACCTCTGGCGTCGACACCATTTATTCCACCCCGTTTGCCTTTGCTGCGAAGAAATCCGATGGCAGCGTTGCGACCTGGGGTGATGAGACTGCAGGTGGCGACTCGAGCTCCGTCAGCACCCACTTGGCCTCGGGAGTCGACGCCGTGTTTTCCACCTGTTGCGCCTTTGCTGCCAAGACATCGGATGGTAGGGTGGTGACTTGGGGTTCTCCAAGTAAGGGTGGCGACTCGAGCTCGGTCAGCCAGCACTTGGGTTTCTCCAGCGTTACAGCAAGCACTACAACACCCTCAGCAACCACCACCACGACTACGTCCCTGCAACTTTACAAGGATGCAAGTTATGCTACCACGACCTCGCAATTGTCAATGTTTGTTGGATTGCTGACTGGCGTCCTGGGCGCGCTCTGATGGTGAATTTGTATACCAGGAAGACCCATTGGAGCCCCCTGCACTGTGAGCAAAAATACGTTTCATGATGTCGCACGTGTTTCGCTGCCTAAGGAATTCCGACTGGGACAGGCAGCTGGTTATGTAAAAAGGCCAAAGCATGCCGTGTTTCACAGCGCCTCGAGACTCCAGGCCGACCTCAGGTCCTGGCTGTGCGCCGGAAATCGAGCCAAAAAGGTCGTGGAGCGCCACTTCCCTCCTACAACCAGGCCTCCTGTTCAATCCTGTGCCAACCACCGGACAGAAAGCATGATGGAGGATGATGGATGTTTTTTGGATGCTATCCTCTTGGAAATCAGTTTGATGGTGGCCGGTAAGTTTGAAGACTATAGGGTCATCTAGGATCTGCCCGATGTTGCTGTAGAGCCTTGGGCCAGGAACTTGACCTGTTCTGGCTCGCAACTCGGAGCTCGGACGTGTTCCGGGTTGCAAGTTTGGCTCTCAAGGGTGGCCCGAATCCGTGCCTCAAATTGAGCGTGCAGTTTATTGGCTCTCCAACACAGCATGTCGTCCCCGAATCTGGCTTCTCCGGGTCTAAACCCTTCGGCCAGAAGAATGAGGACTTCAAATTCTCCGGCTCGCAAGGTTCTCAAGCTTGAATATGCTCTCTCGGAGCGGTATGTCGAAGCAGCTCTCTTCAACAAAGTATCGCATATGTAAGTGGATCCTTCTTTCGATCGAGATCGTCAAACCCAAGAGCCGAAATCCGGTCACCAGAGGTGTTGAGAGTTGCGTGCCACCGAGGTCTTAACCCGGTGATCGAGAAGCTGCAGCAGGCCAGGTTAGAGAGGTTAGCGAGACAACTTCCGTGCCATCTAGAACGAGAGCACGACAGAGGATCACAGGCAGCAAGGGACGTGGGTGCAACGGATGCGGATGTGCTAGGGCCGAGTCCCGAGCACCATATCTCTAGTGGGATCTAAGCGCTTTAAGGAGCTTCAGCTTTCAACCCTTCAGTCGAAGCCAGAGTCGCCCTCTATAGATCGGTGCGGATGTAGGGCTTCAGCGGCTCAGCCCAGAGAGGAGGATTTTTTGAGGATTTTGCGGGGTTTTCGGGCCCCTGTTTAGGTTTTCACAGCGAAAGCTGAGGACTCCTGAGCTGCCACGGTGGCAGAGGCTCGCTTCTGGAAAGATGCAACCTCAGCCTCCAAACCCCAATCCTTAAGCCCTTAAACCCTTAAACTCTGAAACGCAAAACCCCTAAGCCCTAACCCTTAAACTCCCTTTTGCCCTGTCCTTGTGGCCCCTTTGGGATTTCCTTGAGTCTCTTTTTTTGAATCTCTTCTTTTGCCCAGAACTCCGAAGAGCTTTGAGAGGGCCGGAGCCTCAAGCAGCCGGCGACCTGACCTGCGCTGTATCTTCCCACTCAGCTTTTTCTCAAACACCGCTCAGGCCATCATGTCCGGAAAACACTGGATATGCACCCAAGTAGCATGCTCGCGAGGGGTTCTTGCAAAGGAGGAAATCGCTGAGCAGTCAGGGCGTTGGTCGTGACTTCGCCATGGGGGGTCACCAGCACATGGCAGGGACACGCAGAGGGACAACAACATGCAATAACCACTGGATGTGCAGGCATGTTCCTGGCTTTTTGAAGGTTCTGGAGCTGTCTCTGCCTTGGGGCTCAGGTTTGACACTCCTCATGGCGGTGAAGTACCTCCGCGCCGAGCACATCACTCAGCATTGACGAAGGTGCGTCTTCACTTGCCCTGGGAATCTAGGAAAGGCACAACCCCGAAAAGAGAGAGATGAAAGGCCCATGTCTGAGTTCTTGCAGATAAGACCTTGGTTATTGGTTACTACGCTCCTCAACGTGCCCAATCCATACCTTCTTTGCCTTCTTTGGCTTAAAAAAATTGCGGACAGCGGCAGTCTCTCGATGGGCGTCAAGTAAAAGGGTTGCTGGGCGGTTGCCGACGTGCGTCGATTCCACCTGCCTTCCTGAGGTGATGCAGAGTCGGACAGCAGTCCGTGTCATCTCCTGGTCACATGCACGTGTCTTGCACAGGCTGCAGTGTAGCCGACCGAGCCATTTCTACCTGGGCAGCAGGAGTTTCAGCAGTGCGCAGCATGAGAGCTCGATGACATGGAGAGATGACTACAAGAGGAATGGTTTTGCCGTGCCCTCCTCTCTTTGCCCGCTGAACGTGTTGCTCTGCTGCAGCGCGCCCTAGAGAGGTTGCAGGAGGAGAACCCAGATGTGGAGCCAGAGAAGCTGGTGAGTGCACACATGTATGAGACGGAGGGGCCGAATCTCTTCCTTGAGTTGGGCCGAGACCCAGCCGTGCTCGACATCGTGTCGGCTGCTCTGGGCACTGATGACATCTTCCTGTGGGCAGCCCAGATCTTCTGTAAGCCACCGGGCACTGGAAGAACCGTGCCGTGGCACCAAGACGGCCAGTATTGGCCCATTGAGCCCCTCCAAGCTTTGACAGCATGGGTGGCAGTGGATAGCTCCACGAAAAGCAATGGATGTCTGCAAGTCCTGCCAGGCTCGCACGGAGCTCTCTATCCGCACGAGCAGCGGCCGAGTGTAGATGCTGCCATCGACTTTGTCATCCAGGAGGACGTCTTTACAAGCGGCCGTCTCAACGAATCGAACGCCCACTTTATCGAGTTGCAGGCAGGGGAAATGGAGGTGCACCACCCGAACATTGTCCACCGCAGTGCCCGCAACACCTCGCAAAACCGAAGAGCAGGAGTCGCTCTGGCTTACATGCCAACAGAGTGCCTCTTTGTGCGAGACAAGAGGGCAGCCGGCGACGAACTTGGAGGCCTTGATCTTGGTTATGGGACGCGACCTCTCTTCCTTGTTAGGGGTGAGTGTCGAAACGGGGACAACGCGTTTGTTGTAGATGCCCGCCCATGACCTGAGCAAAGCTTCGTCCGGACACGTGGCTGCGAGGAAACAAGGACAGGCGCAGGTTGAGGGAAGCGACTCTCATAGCGAGAGACGGAGAGAGCCATTGAGAGCGAGAGAGAGGGAGAGACGGAGAGAGACGGAGAGAGACGGAGATGGAGATTGCAGAGAGGACCAAGAGAGAGCATGCCCTACGAGCAGCTCTGCCTATTCCAGTCACGCTGAGACAGTCGTGAGCTGGAGGTTGAGACGTCAGACATGGAGGGGCATCAGCACACGACGAGCTAGCAGTGCTTGCAGGAGAATGTGCCTCAGCTTACACTGGTATGTGCAATCTCCATGCCCAGCTGCCAGTTTGAGGATCTTCGGGGATTTCGGTTCTTCTTTCCTTTTTGTGGGTTTATGTGGCTTGTGTTGACTGTGTTGGGTTCAGGGGCTGCTCGCTTTGATAGCGGAGACCACAGCAGGAGTGAATTGGTACGGGACTTTGGGGCGACTTGGGGGGACTTCTAGGTGTTTTTTGGTGCAATGATGCAACGCTCATATGAAGTACTTGAGACGTCAAGCAGTTTAGGGTTCTTACGTTTTCTGGATGTTTTCTTCGTTGTATGTTTTTTTGTTGTTTAATACTTGCACGGCAGAGGGAAATAAGGCCGGGAGAAATTACACGGTATTTCCATTATAGCCGTTAAGTTTTCACGCCCGCGAACTGATTCTGAAGGAATGAACTGGACCAACGATCGGTTCCTCAATGCGGTTCATCTTTAGGACCACACAACTTAGTTCAGATACCGAGGGTTACGGAATTAAAGCCGACTATGAGGTACAGCCAGGCAAAGAGCTGCAGTGCTAGGTTGGCTCATGGAAGCTTTGATCCTCTTTGCTGAGCAGGCGTTCCGGCGCTCCGGGACCTGTGCCCTGGCTACACCACGATGTCCGTTTCTTGTTTCTTTCTCTTTTTTTTTGGGGGGGGGTGGTTGGGGGGGGGGGGGGGTCAGGGCCCAGGGTTGAGGGTTGAGGGTTGAGGGTTGAGGGTTGAGGGTTGAGGGTTGAGGGTTGAGGGTTGAGGGTTGAGGGTTGAGGGTTGAGGGTTGAGGGCTGGGGCTTCGAGGTGAGTGCTCATGTAGTTTGCGTAAGGCGTGAGTGACCACTTGGGATGTCCCCCCGGGATTATAGTACCCCCTCTTATAGTCCCTATTCAGGAATATGAAGGACTGTTCGTATAAGGGGGAACATTCCCAAAATCTAACCCAGAAACCCAGTGCTGCCTTCATGCAGGTGGCAATGCTTTTTGTTTAAATGAGCCTTTGAGTAGAGACCCTGAGAGTGGCCCATCTTTCGCTGTGGCAATGTGAGCATCGAGTACGGTTGCCCTGCTGGCCCAAAACACCGCCGAGGCCACCGCAGCCGTCGACTGGTTTCACATGAGCTTTGCAGGTGTCACTCACAAGTCTGCAGATATGGCGGAAACCTGCCGTTACCTTTAGGCAGCTGCAGCCCGTTTGACCGGATTCGATGCTGATCAACGAAGCTAGATGAGCAGCCAGATTTAGATTGTTTTGCCGTCTCTGCTCGAAAACGGTTTCGTTGCTTCAGATTGGGCATGTGAGTGCTTGTTCGTTGCCCGTTCCAGTTCGTTGTCATGGTTCTGTTCCGCGGCCCAGTTTTGCCAGTGCTCAAAGCCGCAACACACGTCCACACGGTTCTCCTGAACCACCTTCAGGACCCAAAGGCCGGTCACGAGTCAGGGGATGGTTTTATTATTGTTTAACACGTTTTTTCTCTTCTTCAGTCCCTGGATCCTCTGTTGGCAACACGTAAACCAAATTCCCAAAGCTTCCAGGATACAACGTGATGCAGCTGGCATGGTTGCTTCTTGGGGCGATGCTTGCCCGCAAGTATACCCCAGGCGTATTCGCTTAACTGTTATCTTCGATTTGCCTTCGGTCCAAAACCGTTTCGAAGGTTCCCCTTTTTTCCCAGTGTCACGGACAGGGATGGTGCCCATTGTAGTCGTGAGAGGGCTTTTTTCAGTTCAACCATGCCACAACGAGCCGGCGCCATATTCTATACAAAATACATATATATATATATAGGGCTTTACAATATGTTTTATTCCCATACAGCGTATTACACCATCCTCCAGCGCTGGGCAGACGATACCGCAGTAGACAATGGACTATTTTCTGTGGCTACAGTATGCCATTCCTCGATGCCTTTGGATGTTCCCAGGGCCCTGGCTGTGGGATCAGCCGGGAAGTTGCCAAATGCGACCTGCGAGCCAGACACGCAGGAGTTCGGGTTTAGTGTTTTTCGGGTTTAGGGTTTAGGGTGTAGGAGCTTCGGGACGCCGTTCGGAGTGGGTCCCGTAGTTGTTTTCCTTCGAAAAAGGATGGGGACGCATCCAACCTCGCATCATATAGTGACGACGAAGCAGCTAGGTTTGGCCAACAAGCGTTTCAATCCGACATGCGCCTGGTTGCATTTCGGTATCCATTTCTCTGAAGCGCGGTTTGCGTCGATGTGAAATTGCAGGAACCACAGGTCCTCCTCCAACGGTTTCAGCAGAAAGCTGTCCTGCCGGAAGAGGCCATCGCTGTAGATCCGCTCCGAAGCTTAGCATAAGACGTCGATCATGCGCAAAACATGCGTGTTGAGATGTTAATACAGTAGAAGACAGGCCTAAAGTAGACATAGTACAGCTTCGCATCGTGCAGTGTAATCGAGTATGGTTCAGTATGATACACGACGGGGTGTAGTGTAGTACAGTGCTTGTATACTTCAGCTTAGTTTGGTGTGGCAAGGATGGCCTCATCGATTGAATGATTTGGCCATCTGCCTTCGCAGTCAAATTAAAACTTCGGGGCGAGGCAGAGGCCCACACCGCTTGGACTTGAGGGGATCAGTGTTCGGCTGTGCAGGCGCGGTGCAGTTTCATTGTGCGCAGCATGATTTCGGTGCGGCGGCTTGCCATGCTACATGCTTTGTTGCTGATTGTAGACATGCTCGAAAATGCTTTTTCGTCATCCACAGCCAGGAAATGCCGCATGAAAAAACGCAAGAGAAATGGCTTCAACACCCAGAGGAATTCCTCCCAAGCCCGTCATTGTTGGCGCGAGGTTTGCAAATCGGGAGGGGTATCTGCGAGTACTCATGACGCACTACAGCTTCATGACGTGCTTTAGGCTCATTCAGGATCTGTCGCGTAAACGCAACCTATTGCCTCCATTTGGTGTTATGGTCCAGGGCCAGGGTGCATATGTGGAGAGCTGAAGTGTGATGATTGTATGCAGGCACGCTCCCAGGGCCTGAGAGTTATGCATCTTCAAGCCCCCCAAGATTCGCAGTCTTTGACTGTGCACGCTTCAGCCCACTCTTTGCCCCAACCACAAACCCGGCAGCAAAAAGCAGTTTCCCATAATGCGGCATTATGATTGTATGTGATACTGAGAGTGCTGATAATGCCCCAGAGCTTCAGCTGCTGCAGGGCCTCGCTTCCAGCAATAACCGGCCTCCTGCCGGCAGCAGCAGGCTTGGCTCACGGTTCCTGGGTCGAGGTGTCAGGGTGTCAAGGTCGTGTGGCTGTGAGAGGGAAAGTTGGTATGGGAGGGCGACTAGGCCCCAAATAGCGCTCACAACCTGAAAGCTGCACAGGACCTGGGGTTTTGGTGCATGACGCATGTCGTGCCAACAAGAGCGCGCATTTCGTGTGCATGTGTGGGGGTGCACGCGCCCGGGCGTGCGTGCACGCGCCAGGAGGATACACGCCATCAGTTTGGTTGACTTCGCTCGTGAAAGCGTCATTGCTTTTTTATAGTGCAAGCCATGTCTGGTGAACAAAATCCTGGTTCAAGTGATGTCAAGTGCAGGCCAAGAAAGCCACAGAAGAAGGTGGGGAGCCCAGCGGCTCCTGACTTGGCTCACAGCACCATGCAGGCAGTACTTACAATAATCGTTGTCGTAGCTCGTAGTCGTGGTGCTCGTAGTCAGCAGTAACAGTAGTAGTCGTCGTAGAAATTAGCAGTAGGAGGAGGAGAAGTAGCTAGTAGTAGTGGTAGTGGTGGTGGTAGTGGTGGTAGTGGCGGTAGTGGTGGTAGTGGTGGGAGTGGTGGTAGTGGGTAGTGGTGGTAGTGGTAACAATAGTGTTAGGACGCGCGCGCGCGCGTGCGCCCCGGTTTAGCTTGGGCTTTGAAGCCGTCGTACTGCTTTGAGAGGGGTCTTGGTCTTCTTCCCACCTTCCCAACCCTTCCTCGCACACTCCAAAGCCCAGAGCAACCCTGGTGAAACAACGGATCCTTCAAGGAGTCCATTTTCTTTGCATTACTGTATACTGGCTTCTCTTAGCCCGTAGTTTATTGTCTTCTGCGCAGCGTATTTCACTGCACTGTAGCCTGTTTTGTGACGCCGTTACCAGGCCAAGACCTTGGCAGAGCTCACCGACGACCTTCGGTCTGTTACGGATGAGCTGTCAGCCAACTCTCAGGACATGGCGCAGCCTAACAAAAGTCTGTCTTACAAAGCTATCATGCAGTTGTGCTGCAGACCAATATGGCACAGCATGATACAAAACGCATAGAAAACGTATTGTACCTTTTGCAGTGCGAGTATAGTGAAGCGCTGCACGACGTTCGTAGTATTCAGGAGAGAGTACAAGCCTACATACCGCCAAGCACCCTCGTCGCTTCGTATGGTATGGCATATTTTTGTTGAGCAAGATTCCATTCCGCCCCCCCCCCCCTCCCCCCCCGATGGTTGCTCGGAGGACATACCGACCGTATTTAGTGTGTGTGTGTGTGTGTGCATATACATACGGTGTAGTATAGTACTCCACAGCCACTCTTGTTTGGTGTGAAAGAGAAGTCATTCACATAACCCTTGTGCTTGCTTGCTTGCTGGCTGCAATTATCACCTTGGTCGTTACAGTTCTTGGCAGTTGCGATCATGAGTGCAGTATCTGCGGGTACTACAGTGTACAGACTGCTTGCATTGTTGCAGGCCATATCCGGAAGCGGAGAGGGTTTTCAAGATCTGCTTCCGAAGTATGAGTCTCTGTGTCTTGGTAGCTCAGGGGACTTGCAGATTCTCTCGACAAGTCTCCCTTGTAGCTCTGTACATCTTTAGGCGTCGTAAACCGAGGTACGCCGATCTCTCAGCGGCCGTCCGAGCGATCACGCCTGCGCGAAGCCGCCCCAACCCCCCTACAATGCCAGAGGGGCCATGCCAGTTGCCGAGAGGTGTGGAGCCAAAAGCCACGTGCAATGAGTCCGAAGGCTTTTCACGCCCCTGTGCGGGAGCATAGTATTGTTGTCTTTAATTTTTTTCCGTCGAAGCATGGTGGAGTATACTGATGCACAGTGTGTAAATGCAAAGTCTAATTCCAGGTTGCAGTTTTCCCATCAGCAACATGGAGAGCCATGCCAGCTCGAACAACACCATCCTGCCCGGCTGTCCGCTGATTTGGGATGCCTTGCAAGAGCTCTTCCTCTACTGCAGCTGGGCAAATTGGTTTAGGCTTTCTACCGCTTCCAGAACTCTGACTGGTGTTCCTTGACTTGTCAGACACCATGACTATTTGCCCTTTGCAGTATCCTTCTGGCGCGGAAGGTCACACAATGGTATGATAAACTACAGTATAGAACAGAGAGAGATAGAGACATAAAAGATAAGAATGAACAAACAAACAAACAAGTACATAAGTAGATAATACATATATATATATATGTATGTTATGTATGTATTCCAAAGCTCGGACTAGCCGCTCACACAAAAGGCCCTCCTCAATCCTTGCAGCAGCACGCGCAGTGACTTGTCTCAGGAAGTCGAAATGTTCAGCGCCCAGGTCTTGAGCTAAAAGCTAACACAAGTCCGAACTGCCACGACTATAGGCGGCTCCCTATTGCACAAACGGGCTGGACTTCTCAGGACGGCTCAGCGAACAGACCTACCCTCACAGTCGCCCCCCCCCCCCCCCCCCGCCCCATGCTTTAGTAGCCACCGTTTGGGCGAAGCGAGGGAAGGGAGGGAGGGGGAGGAGGCCCCGAAGTGGTCGGAGGGAAGGGGGAGGGAAGGGGGAGGGAAGGGGAGGAAGGGGGAGGGAAGGGGGAGGGGAAGGGGGGAGGGGGAGGGGGAGGGGAGGGGGGGGGAAAAGGGGAGGAAGGGGGGGGGGGGGGGAAGACTGGGGAAGGGAGGGAGGGAAGGGAGGGAGGGAGGGGGAGGAAGGGCGGGAAGGGAGGGAGGGAAGGGGAGGGAAGGGAAGGGGGGAAGGTGGGAAGGGGATGGGGAGGAAGAGGGAGAGGAAGGAGGGGAAGGGAGAGGAAGGGAGGAAGGGAGGGGGGAAGAAGGGGGGAAGGGAGGGAAGGGAGGGAAGGGGGAGGGAGGGAAGGGAGGGAAGGGAGGGAAGGGAGGAAAGGGAGGGAAGGGGGAAGGGAGGGAAGCGGAGGGAAGGGGAGGGAAGGGGAAGGGCAGGGAAGGGGAGGGAAGGGGAGGGAAGGGGAGGGAAGGGGAGGGAAGGGGAGGGAAGGGAAGGGAAGGTAAGGGAAGGGAGGGAAGGGAGGGAAGGGAGGGAAGGGAGGGAAGGGAGGGAAGGGAGGGAGGGGGGCAACCCGCGCTCTATATGTACATAGGCGTATATTATGATGAAACTATGTTCAATTCTACATGAAGCATATGATGTATTGTACTGTATAACGCACGTAGTACTCAGGAGAATAAGCGTGTACAAAAGAGTATAGAAACATCTATCTATCTATCTATCCATCTATCTATCTATATCCATATATATATATAGCATACATGTCTAGTGTCCGCTTAAATCACAGCATGGGAGCTGCAAGAGTAGCATATCTTGCAGCACAGCAAAAACTAGCATCTTTGCACGATTCGTTTGATGGATAGCTTTCATGGTCGAAGGCAACCTCGGCGAGTCCAGCCGCCTGGTGACAGCCACCACATGCAATGGTCAAGGTGCGCCCTAAACCCTAAATCCTAAACCCTAATCCTAAACCCTGAACTCCAACTCTGAAACCCTAAACCGAATGCGCGTGCGCAAGCGATGCGGGGTTCGGGCTTTTAAAGTACAGCTTCCGCCCGGCAGGGGGGGGGGGAAGGTTAGGGTTTAGGGTTTAGGGTGTTTTTCTGGGAGGGGGCGGGGAGCAGCCTGTCGCTGAAAGCAAGTTGGGAGGAGAGGGAAGCATTGGAAAGTACTTCTAGATGGTGGCGTGGAAGCAGGATGGTTTCATCAACCGCGGCATCGGTACGACTATGTAAGCAGATTACCCTATCACTATAGCACTGTTGTCACCATTCATCATGGCAACTTAATGTGCTGTATCGCTGCATTCCTTTGCTGCTGTGTCGGTGATATTCCTTCTGCACAGCTATACGTGTCGCCCTCGTTGCGTCTCCCCCAATGAGCCCTCACATGGCGACAGCATCGAAGCATACACAGTAGTGCAAGCGTATCGTCATGGTGGTAGCAATGGTGACTGGTACGCACGCGGAGTCCAGTTTGTCGACAGAAAAAAGGGTCTAAAAGCTAAAAGCGCCACATGCCACATAACTCTGTGTCTCCAGAGGTACCGCGAACTTCGACCACCAGCTGGCAGCTTTCAAGAGCTACAAGAACGCCTGCTCCCGTGTTGGCTGCGATGACAACACCAACGGCAACCTCGCATGCGGAGACAAGTGGGCGCTGGGGACCGGGGGCCGGGGGGTTGCCGGGAGGTGCTTCAAGAACCGGTTTTCGCTGAGGGAGTGCAAAGGCCGGCCGCTAAGCCATGGCTACAGCCAAGAGTTTGTTTCGGACCAAGGATGCCATAGGCGCCACTTACCAATGGGCATGAAACGGGGGCTCAGTTCTGCAGGAGCTTCGACCCGCGCACGACCATGCAGTTTGTTGCCGAGCCGGGCGCTTGCGTATACATCGTGCAGCAGCCGCACCGGGGTGCGAAGGGCAGCGAGACCGACATGCTCTACATTACCAGCGAGGCTTCAGGCGGAGGTGGTGCACTTCTACAAGCCGCAGCTCAAGCTGAGCAGGGAACCCCAGAAGATTGCAGAAGCTCATTAAGGCTCATGACGAAACCCGGAAACAGGATTTCTGAGAGTGTAATGTTCCAGCTTGCAGAACAAGCGTATCACAGAGACACCATCGACATCTGAGAGTAAATTCTGCCAGCAGATGTCCTTTGTCATTGGGTTCCCCCTTTCCTCACCTTCGCCTTCACGCTCTCGCACCTAGATCATTGGTGGAAGTGGGGGGGGGGTGGGGGGGTATACATGTATGATGTGGAAGACAAACATCACGAACTGAGCTGTGTCTATAGCGTGACCAGTGTGGCTGGAGACGCTTGTTTTTTTTTTTTAGCTTTTTGACTCTGAGCTATCAAGGCCCGGAGCCTCTGGGGAGGCGAGCATGGGCCAGCTGGCAAGCAAGCTCGACGCGCTCTTGCAAGGTGTTCAAGAGCAGAGGAGGGACGCCGCTGAACAACGGCGTCTGCTTCAAGACCTGGAGCATCGTGTCTCTGTGCCCAAGCAACGCGCCGCAGAAGGAGCCGCAGCCAGTGCGGACAGGGCCCCTACAGCCCTTGAGGGCTTCGGGTCTTTCAAGAAACTCCGTGAGGTCAAGGCTTCTGCAAAGGCGTCTAGCTTCGAGCTTTGTCCGCAGGCAAGCAATCGCCAGATCCTGACCCAAGGAAACTCCCTTCGTCACGGCAAGTCCCAGGAGAAGGTTTCCGCAAATCTGGGTTCAGTCTGCGACGCGGAAACAGAAGTTCCAGTATTTCAGCCTTTCGGCAACGGCTCGTACACTGTTGCGTGCTGTGCCAAAAGTTCTGTCCACTGCACGGGATGTGCTGAGTTGTCAGAGGCAGGTGATGCCTGCAATCGATGTTCTGGTGGATATGTTCAGGGACCTGACGGTGTCTGTGAAGCCTGCATGGACGTGGTTGCTTGGACCGATGCGGCGGGGCTCTCATGTTCCGCTTTAACAAGTCCAAGTGCTTGCACATCTGTGAGGGTGAACCAGTACTCGTCCATGGAAGCTTGCTGCCAATGTGGCGGCGGCCACCGGGCTGGCACGGCCTTCACGTACTACGTGGGCCCAGCGGTCTTAGGTGCTCCGAGCATCGTGGGGCATCCAGTGCCCCGAACAGCAACCAACTACATGCTCAACGAGGGTTGTGAGCTCTTGAAGCATGGGCTGACGATCAGTGGCAAAACAGGAGAGCTGATGTTCGCAGAAGGGTGCAGCGCACTTGGCTGCGGCGCAACGGACCCCTTCTCCGTGTCCTGTACCGTCACCGCCCAAAGCTTCATCAACTTCGAGCCACGCTTCGAGCGTTCGTTCTCGGCCTCGGTTGCAGGCAATGTTTCTTTCGACACTGTGAGCTGGTCCACAGCGGTCGTCAATGACACAGAGCTGCTGACAGACAGGAACTACAAGTTCACAGGACTTGGGGGTTACGCGTCCGATTGCCTCTATCTCCGTGGACCCAAAGATCTGCGTCTAACTTCATCTTCAGAGGCCGCTAAGCAGAGAGCCTTCCGATGTTGTTTTCTAATGACCCCGATCCGCACCCTGTGCACCTTGGAGGTTCAGTGGCAGATTCAAGCTCCTTTCCCTTCGATGGTCTATTTGGATATGTGGGCGAACCAACAGGTTGATGGCTTTGCAAACTGGGCAGACGCGTCCAGTTGGACACAGTCCGCTATGCAGGGCATCCAGACGCAAGTGAATTTCGACTTCCAGGGTAGTAGAGTTTGTTTTTGCTTTTCATGAGCTACACGTAAGAAGAGAGTGCTGTTTCCTTCTGTCTCGTCGGCCATTGGAGATCCCAGGAATGGGTTACTCTATGGGCCCGGTCCAGTTTACAACCGGTCTTTCTCGGCGGGCGAAGTCATCAAGCTTCACGGCAATGATGCGGAAACCGCAAGCTACTTGGCTTTCGTGTGCCCGACTGGCCCACGTGAGCTTCCCTTCGTCGCCATCGCCAACGCAAGTGCAGGTGAAGCCGATGACATGGTGAAGTGGTCGACTGCAGAAGTCGGGCAGACCCTAATCTGGGAAGACCGGGAGACATTGTTCTTCTCCGATCTCGGAGGTTTGGACCTTAAAGATCTATCGTCTATCAGTTTTCAGAGTCACGACAGTCCTACTTTAGACTACATCAATGTGTCGATACGTGAGTCTGCCCGCAACCCCGCGCCCTCGGAGGCTACGACGAAGCTTGCTACCTGGTTCGCGGGAAGAATGACGACAAGAACACCGCATCTTCACAGGCCGAATCCCCATCTAGCCCAGCCCCAGGTTCAAGTGCAGAAGCTACTGTAGGATTCCGGCGTTTCCAGGCAGCGCAGAAGAGGCTGCAGTAAGTTGTCCTAGACATTCGGATGGTAATTCTACGAGGCTGTGAAGTTTTGGAAGCCCCAATGTGTGTTCATTATCCTTGCCGTGGAGGTACAGTGGACCTTGCGGATGCCTTTTCCTTCCCAGGCCTGGTTTTCAGGTTTTCTTGGCAAATTTAGGGGGGTTGAGGGTTCAAGTTTAGCAGACGACAGGGTGCAGGATTCATACAAGACCGACAAGACATGCGTGGAGAGCGAAAGGCATTCCCGACATGGGCCCAGAACCGTGTGGTGTTCACAGCCTTTTGCGGCCCACTTACTGTTACCGATGCCGATGCCATACCTTGATTGTGGCAGGGCTGTCCAACCAAAGCATTTCGGATCGATGTGCACTGCGGTATTCTCCAGCGCGCAGCCATGATGTCGTGTAGGAGACTTGAGAGATCTTGAGAGCAGCATCTTTGACTTGATCCTCAGGTCTACCTGGACATGTGGGATGGGCAGGAAGCTTTGGGTTTTGCCAGCTGGGCAGACCGATCTTCCTGGTCGCTGTCGTCAATGAAAGGCATCGAGTTTGACGGCCTAGGCCCAGGAAAGGTGGCGTGTATCAAAAGGGCATCTTGTTGTTATGGGGCAAGTAAGCATGGCCGGTAGGCGCAGGGATTGTAGTAGGTTTTGTTTGAACTGGACTCTGGGGCCTTCCATGAGTGAAACATCATCAGGTGTACGGCCGCGCCTATGAGGCCCATGAGACGGTGGAGCTCTACGGCAATGATGGTAGCGGCACAGGAACCTACCTGGTGTTCGTGTGTCCGTCCCGATCGACGACCACGACGGCATCTGCAGAGCTGACAGTGACAGCCTTCCAGGGCTTCTCCTACGGGACGTCACCTCTAATTTTCTTGTCCGATGAGGGCTACTTACCAAGCTCCGTGCAAAGTGGAGCATACCAAGACCTGGCTTGTGCCCCAAAGGACATTGCAGACGCCATAAGCCTGAACACCAGCACTGGCGAAGTTTCTTGGGCTGCTGCTTCTCCCAGGGGTGGTCTCACCTTTGCAGAGGGAGGTCCTTTCAACGGCACAGCAGGCGGAATTTGCCAGCTGAGCCAAGGGAGTTCTGTCACATCGTTCGTTGTCCTGAAGCCCGAGATCTGGACTTCACTTGACTACGGCAGCTGGACCAATCTCTTGGGATTTGCATGAGTTGCAATTGCTTGATTTGAGTTCGTAAGTTACATACCGTGTGTGGCTCAGGCTACGGCCCAGCGATTCAGGTCACGTTGGGGGAAGCTGCGCCCATTCTGAAGCTTGCCCGTTGGTTGTAGTACGAAGGAAGAGGAGCTGAAGTAGTACATTTGCATGAAACTTCATAGTGACTATGATGTGAGCCATATCATGGGCCCATATCACCCGCTTCACCTGCACCGCCCGCCCCTACATCACCTGCACTTGCACCGTCCGCAGCGCCCGTCCCGCCCTCCCTGCCCGCACCACCCGTACTACCTGCACTCTGGAAGAGGGGCTGTCGAGCTAGTCTCTTTCTTGATTTAACGGCATCTGCATAGTGTCCCCGATGGTACAAAAGACAGCATGAGGACTGACGAGTCAAGAGTGGGGGGCACCCAGCATGTGCAACAGAAATGTCAGAAAAGTTCGCTGTCCATTACAACAGCAACCAGGACTGCATACTGATGACACTACGAATTGGTAGTAAGACAAGCAACCGCAATGCCTTATTCTGTCTTCCGCATTCTCAACAGTAAGGAGCCCGCAAAGCCAGTCTGGAAAGCTTGCCCCAAGCCGTTTCTCAGCACAGGCAGGGAATCTGACAAGTGAGAGTGGTGTCCGTTTCACGAGAATACAGACTGTATTAGAGGATGTGGAATTGCATATTCTTGTAGCTAGTATACCGTGTCATACTCAAGCATGAATCGTATAGTATAGTATAGCATAGTGTAGTGTAGTATAGTATAGTGTAATTTTAACGCTACGCGACCCGCCTCGGCCCGGCCCAGCGCATCCGCGTGAGCATGGTGATTCCGCAGCGCCCAAGTCGCAGGACCCCAAGCAATAAGGGTTGGGTTGAGGGTTGAGGGTTGAGGGTTCCGGGTTTATGGTTTATGGTTTGGGGTTTGGGGTTGAGGGTTAGTTTAGGGCTCAAGGTTCACGCTTTGGGGTTGAGGGTTTTTTTGGGTTTAGGGTTCGGCTTGGAGTGATCGTAGGATTGAGCCAAGCCCCTTGAGGTTTAAGGCGACTCTTCGGCAGCGGGGGGGGGGAGGTGGGGTGGGGGGTGGGAGGGGAGGGGGGGGGGAGGGGGTGGGGGGGGGGGGAGGTGGGGTGGCGTGGGTGGGGGGCGGGGGGAGGGGGAGGGGGGGGGGGGGGGGGGGGGGGGGGGGGGGGGGGGGGGGGGGGGTTCTGACAACCTAGACACCTAGGCCTCGGCGGATTTGCGGCCGTGCTCACACCAGTTCAGCCTCCAGCCCTCAAGCCAGCGCGTCGGAGCAGGAAAACTCCGCCTTTCACAAACACCTTATGTGAGCAAGCGGAGGAGGAACAAAAGGGGGGGTGGCAGGGGGGGGGATAGAGGGGGGGTTAGGGGGGTGAGGGTGGGGTAGGGGGGGTGGTTGGGGGCCGGGGGAGGGGGTGGGGGGGGGGGGGGGCTGGGGGGGGTGGGGGGGGGGGGGGTCGGGGGGGGGGTGGGGGGGGGGGGGGGTGGTGGGGGGGGTAGGGGGGGAGGGGGGGGAGAGGGGGGTTTTTTTGTGTGTGGTGGAAAAAGGTGGGGGGCCCTGCTGGGAAGGGCTGCAACTGCCTCTGGTCCTGGCGAACCATCCGCTTGCGGACCCTGCTCACCTAGGGGGGGTACCCATTTGAGGCAAAAAAAGGGGTCCGAAAAAGGGCTTTGGGGGGGAGGATTTGGAGGGGGGTGCCTGTTCTGACTACCTATACACCTTCGGCCCGAGGCCTCGGCGGATATAGTATAGTATAGTGTAGTATAGTATCGTATGGTATAGTACAGTACAGTACAGTAAAGAAAAGTATAGTACGGAGGGCCTATTTTTTTGGGTCTTTTTTTTTTTTTTTGGGGGGGGGCCTCCTTTTTTTTTGGTCGATTTTCTTGGTTTTTCCTAAGAAAACCACCATTCCCTCCATATTTTTAAAGGATTTGATGCATTTTCGTGGTTTTTCGTACGAAAAACAGTAATTTCTCTGTGGTTTCATAGGAAAGCGTTATTTCTGGTAGGTTTTAGAAGGAAAGAAGGAAAGAAAGGAAGGAAGGAAGGATGAAAGAAAGGAAGAAAACAAGGAAGGAAGGAAGGAAGGAAGGAAGGAAGGAAGGAAGGAAGGAAGGAAGGAAGGAAGGAAGGAAGGAAGGAAGGAAGGATGAAAGAAAGGAAGAAAACAAGGAAGGAAGGAAGGAAGGAAGGAAGAAAGGAGGGAAGGAAGAAAGGAAGAAAGCAAGGAAGGAAGAAAGGAAGGAAGAAAGGAAGGAAGCAAGGAAGGAAGAAAGGAAGCGTGCTTCGAAGCCCAAGAAACTAGTTGAAAAACATCGTGTGAGCATTGTGTTTGCAAATGGGGGGGGGCTGACCCCCCCCGCTTTTTTTTAAGCCGTGCTGAGCGTGCTTCAAAGCCCAAGAAACTTGTTGACACCCATCATGTGAGCAGGGTGTTTGCAAATGGGGGGCACAGCCCCCCCAACCCCCCCGCTTCTTTTAAGCCGTACCAAGCGTGTTTCAAAGCCCAAGAAACTAGTTGAAAAGCATCGTGTGAGCATTGTGTTTGCAAATGGGGGGGGCTGCGCCCCCCCGCAACCCCCCCGCCTTTTTTTTTAAGCCGTGCAGAGCGCGCTTCAAAGCCCAAGAAACTTGTTGACACCCATCATGTGAGCAGGGTGTTTGCAAATGGGGGGGGGGGCTACGCAAAGCCCAAGAAACTAGTTGAAAAACATCGTGAGCATTGTGTTTGCAAATGGGGGGGGCTGCGCCCCCGCCAACCCCCCCGCTTTTTATCAGCCGAAGCCCAAGAAACTAGTTGAAACCCATCATGTGAGCAGGGTGTTTGCAGATGGGGGGCACAGCCCCCCCAACCCCCGCTTCTTTTAAGCCGTACCAAGCGTGCTTCAAAGCCCAAGAAACTAGTTGAAAAGCATCGTGTGAGCATTGTGTTTGCAAATGGGGGGGGCTGCGCCCCCCCCAACCCCCCCGCTTTTTGTAAACCGTGCAGAGCGCGCTTCAAAGCCCAAGAAACTTGTTGACACCCATCATGTGAGCAGGGTGTTTGCAAATGGGGGGGGGGCTGCGCCCCTCCCCCAACCCCCCCCGCTTCTTTTAAGCCGTACCAAGCGTGCTTCAAAGCCCAAGAAACTAGTTGAAAAACATCGTGTGAGCATTGCAAATGGGGGGGGCTGCGCCCCCCCCAACCCCCCCGCTTTCTTTT